GACTACTTGGACTTCAGTGTGATTTTGCATTCTGGATTTCTGTGCTTCGTCCATACTCATGTTCCTTGCAATTTGGTATCGGAGCTGGTTTGATCGCCACTTACCTTTGGCACGCTGGCGTTATACAGACTTGGTGCGTTGACGATGCTTCTTCGCAGTGGGCACTTGTGATGTCAGGCCACTATAGGTGCACGCCCTGGGTAGAGAGGGGTGCACCGAAAGGCTGGTACCACAGTGTATGCCGTGGGATACAGCGGAATGTTTGATTGATGATGAGAGCATGCTGATGTGGCATTGGACTAAGGTGGCACTGCATTGCGTTGTGGGTGGTACCGAGGTCATGATCGGTCATCAAATGCAACATCAGCTCACTTGGTGAGAAATCTGTGGTTTGGGGCAGCTATCTCCGGGTATGTTGATCCCTTACCTTATCTACTCTCTCAATCTCTTCTTACCGTGAGGAAGTGAGTCCAACTTGAGAGTCCTCTCCTTGGTGAGGTGTCGTGAGCGCGCTACCTTGATAGACGACAATCTTCCCGGAAGCATCTGGAAGGAGAAAGGGCGGTGCCTCTGAAGGGCCCTGGTCGAAGCACTGGATACCAGACCGTCTATAAACATTTCTGGTTGGGTACTCGGAATTATTCTGGCTGTGATCGTCGTCCTGACTGCGACGTTAAATAATTCCTGCAGAGATGGGGGCGCTCTTAATAATCCTCCTGATCAGCCAGATCATCCGGATGTAAGGCTCGTTTCCGTGCGAGGGTAAATAAGAGTGGGCTGGCTGGCTTACTTGGCTCTGACTTGGGCACAGGGGTGGGCCGATACACACGAAAACGCTGCTTTGCTCGAGATGCTGTTCGGTATGTTGGATTGAGGGGAGGGTAGGTTCCAATTGCTGTTCAACTGTGCACACAACTATACCCATCAATCATACATCTGCTACATTGTCTTTTTGTACCTTTGATTAGTTGGTTGACGGACTGCTAACCTCACAGACAGATTAGTGTAGGACTGTTGTATGCTGCCATAGCTAGGTCTAACTGATGCTGCTGTAAGTGAACCAATCAGGGTGCATGTAGACTATGTAGACAATCTGTGTGAATGTTGTAGACATGCCACTTGATTCGGTATAGTAGGGAACTCGCCGGACACAACTATTTATAGAAAACTACGTGCCGGTYAGATACATGCTRYGGTAGGATTCCACTAGGGGATTCTAGTRCAGATACTATCTGCCTAACTAATGAGTTGGTCAGACCCTGTTGATGATAGAGCTGACGGTAGGAGACTAACACGTGCACAGGCACTAAGGGTACCACACGTGTTCCAGGCCTTGGAGCCGGGAGAAGAAAGACGGTTACGTAGAGCCCGTGCTCTAGCAGCGGGGATAGCAGCAGCAAACGCAGCAGCTAGAGAGCAGGCAACAGCAGCCAGAGCAGCAGCAATGGCTAATGGCGCAAGCTCTGCTGCGTCATCATCTGCGTCCTCGTCAGGGACTAATGGGGGCCAGTTGGGAATGCCAACGAGTTCCATAAGTTCCTCGGACACTTCCGGTTCCACAGGATCTAGACAGTCTTCTAGTCAAATGGCAGGCGCACAGTTCAGCCCGTTAACCCCGCGTGAGAGGGAGCTCAGAGAGATCCAGCAGGTCGAGAGGCTCCGCCGTAAGTTAGAGCAGGACCTGAAAGATGCTACCGATAGAGAAAATGCGATGAAAACTAGAGCAGCCAGGCTTGAAACTTTAGAGGCTGACAAGGCTGAATTAGAGGGCTTGGATGAGTCATCATCGACTGACCCGCTGAAAGTTTTGAAGAAGAATATGTTGTCATTGCACACACACGTGGACAGCAAATTAGACTTCATGCAGAGCACTCTAGACCAGATCCTGGATGCGTTGACAAGGCCAGGATTCCGCCCACCAGCACAATCGTCATTGCCGTTATCGGCGATGTCAGGCCCCTTTCCAGTTCAAGCTGGCACACAACCAAGTGGCACATCTGCAGCAGCCGCACGGACTGTTGCATCTTCTTCTTCGGGTCCAGTGGTGGTTGCTACACCACCGCAACAGGCTAGTCCTCAACAAGGACAGCCACAAGGTCAATGGGACCCTAAGACCCCAATGAAACCACCTCTTGCTTTCTCAGGCGAGGGAAAGGGCGAAGAACTCAACACTTGGTTGAGAACAGTCCCGGTTTGGGTGAAGGCCAACAGAACCTTGCTAGAGGACGAAGTGGTAACTGCGGCTTCTTACCTGGAGGGTAAGGCAACCAAGTGGTTAGATGGTGTAGTTATAAAGCCCGGGTATGGGAGACGCATGGCAGACTGGGCTAAGTCTCTGACATTAGACCAGTTCATGGAAATGGTAGAAGCTCGATGGCATAACCCACAGGAGGCTCAAAAGGCCACTGATGCCATTAACAAACTAGACCAACGCAAGTTCAGGTCGGTTAGAGAGCTTACGACTACCGTTGAGAGCCTGATCCCCGTCCCAGGCATTAACTACAGCGACCAGTTCCTATTGACTACGTTTGTCAGATGTCTCCCAGAGAACATTAGGAACTTGCTAGCCAGCGAGGCACGCACTGAGTACCACTCGTTTGAGACACTGTCTAGGAAAGCCTTAAACTTGGAGGCCACACTAGGCAATGCTCAACCAACCTCTCACAATGACACGAAGAAGAAGAAGAGTCCTCAGGAGTGGAAGAAGAAGGGGGCGAAGTTGATGATGGTTGAGTCTGATGGGACTCAAACTGAGATCGATGAGCTCTCTGACCTGATGGACTACTCAGAGTATGACGACGAGGAGGTAGCTGAGGGTAGCACCCTCGCCGCAGTAGTAAAGACTAAGGCGGCAGGCCGAGGGAAGGGCCAGCCTAGGGGTCAAGGGAAGGCCGCCCCCAATTAGACCAAACAGGCTGAGTGGGTTAAGGCAGGTCTTGAACAAGACGTGTGGCGTGACCGCCGAACGCGTGGCGCTTGTATCAACTGCGGGGAATACGGACACTCGCAGTACAAGTGCCAGAACACTAAGGTTACGCAAAAGGTTGCTCCAAAGATGGGGGCAACTTATTCCCAGGCTTCTAGCTCGGGAAATGCGTGAGGCCAGTGGAAGTATTAGCTGCTTCAACTCAAGATGAAGTGGGATTGATACCCTCCCCACTTCATGACAAGGCCAAGGCTAATGACCCCTTAGTCACCCCGCAGACACAACTAGACCAAACTATGCTCTGTACGTTAGATGTGTCTGAAGCCTTAGAGGACTTGGAGAGTGAGTGGTCAAACAAGGACCCTCGCGAGTCTTCGGTGGCGCTGAGGAAAGGTCCTAGAGGGGAACATTTCGTGGTGGAAGTCCATGTAGGGGGCCGCAAATGTGGTGCCTTCATAGACATAGGCTCCACGCGGAATTACATAAGTCGCGACTGTTTGGAAAGGCTGCACCTACAGGACCGGGTACGGCACCTTAGTAGACCAGTAGCATCTACTTTGGCGAACAAGGAGCGCATGATTGTAACAGACTACATCAAGGACGTAGTTTGTACCATCTCCTATGGAGGAGGTGAGCTTAACCATAAGATTTCGTTCTTGGTTAGCGACGACTTGCCATTTGAAATGTTGTTAGGCATGTACTACCTCGAATTTGCTAAGCCCCAGTTCGACTGGGATAAGAAGGTGCTCAAGCATAAGTTGCCCGATGAGCGAACTGTCAGATTGACTAAGTTTAAGGCCAGTAGTATTATAGACACCTATGGCTGCTTGTGCGCATCAGCGTTCTACAACTACTATAAGCAGAACCAAGAGGAGGGTATGTACCTTGTTTACGTCTATGAGAAGCGGGAGGCCGTTAAAACACCCCCAGAGATAGAACGCGTCGTTGCTAAGTTCCCTGATCTGTTCGAGGAGCCCACAGGAGTTGTTGAAAGGGAAGTCGTCCACGCTCTAGAAATCATTCCAGGGAGTAAGACCCCAAAGGGAAGGATCTATAGGATGGCCCCCGCCGAGTTAGATGAACTTCGGAAATAGCTTAAGGAGTTGACAGAGAAGGGTTGGATTCGATCTAGTACTTCCCCTTACGGATCACCCGTTCTATTCGTGCCTAAGAAGGGGGGTACTTTGAGGATGTGCATTGACTATAGAGGCCTCAATGCCATCACAGTGAAGAATGCAGAGCCTCTACCTCGCATAGACGACCTATTGGATAGGGTGCAAGGATGCAAGTACTATAGTAAGATAGACCTGAAATCCGGATATCATCAGATCGCAATAAGACCTGAGGACCAACACAAGACAACTTTTCTGACCAGATACGGTCTGTATGAGTTTGTAGTGATGCCCTTTGGTCTTTGCAATGCGCCGGGTAGATTCCAGCACACTATGAATCGGATCTTCCATGACCATTTAGATAAGTTTGCCGTGGTCTACCTAGATGACATTCTAATCTTTAGTAAGTCTGCCGAGGAGCACGCACAACATGTTGAGACAGTTCTCTCACTCCTGCGATAGCACAAGTATAAGGTCAACTTAGAGAAGTGTGAATTAGGTCGCACTAAGATACTATTCTTGGGTCATGAAGTATCCGCGGAGGGAATTAGGCCGGAAGATGCGAAAGTGGCTAGTATTCGAGACTGGCCACGACCTCAGACAATCACTGAGGTCAGATCATTCTTAGGAATGTGCGGCTACTATAGGAACTTCGTAAAGAACTATTCTACAGTCGCCTCTCCTTTGACTGATCTAACTCGACTTGACACACCGTGGGACTGGAGTGATGAGTGCGAGGGTGCTTTCAAGAGATTGAAGCATGCACTCATGAATCATGAAGTTCGCATGGTTCCCGATCCACAGAAGCCATTCATAGTGACCACTGATGCAAGCCAATACGGCATTGGCTCAGTGCCGGCTCAGCAGGATGGGAAAAAGTTGAGACCGATTGAGTACATGAGTAAGAAGATGCCATCGAAGAAGTTGGCTAAGTCCACCTACGAAAGGGAACTCTATGCTCTCTACAAGGCACTTGTCCATTGGAGACACTTCCTTTTGGGAAGGTTCTTCTATCTGAGGACTGGTCATCAGACCCTCAAATGGATCAAGACTCGACCGGCTCTTTCTGATGCACTCAAGCGATGGATTGAGGTCATAGACCAATATGATTTCAAGCTTGAGTACCTGAAGGGAGAGTACAACAAGGTTGCAGACGCGCTATCCCGTAGAGCAGACTACCTAGGTGCGCTAGTTTCTGACTTTGGCGTATCTAATGAAGTAACTCAATCATTGGTGGGAGCCTATCAGGAAGACCCTGTCACGATGGACATCATCCGCAAACTTCAGGCAAAAGATAAGGCCACGGAAAGTGAGTTTGTGATGGTGGACGGGTTACTCTATCTTGATAAGGCCGGAATAAAGAGATTGGTAGTTCCATCTAGTGAACAGTTGCGTAGTTTGTTTTTAGGCGAATGCCATGACGCAATGGGACACTTTGGCTACAAGAAAACGAGTGCTAATCTAGTACAGCGATTTTGGTGGCCTGGTGTGTTCGATGACGCAAAGAAGTACGTAGAGACCTGTCAGGTCTGTCAGCGGGACAAGCCGCGAACTCAAGCACTGCTTGGGTTGCTTAAGCCCTTACCTATTCCCGCTGGTCCAGGACAGAGTGTTTCCATGGATTTCATGGACACCCTGGTAACTAGCAAGAGTGGTAAGAGACACATCTTCGTCATCATAGACCGATTCACCAAGTACGCTAGACTAGTTGCCATGCCAGAAAGTGCGAGGACTGACCATGTCATCAAGTTGTTTAAGGACAACTGGGTGCGGGACTTTGGGTTACCAAAGACTATCGTTAGTGATAGACACGTCCGATTCACAAGTGAGCTATGGAAGAAGACTGCGGAACAAATGGGCAGTCAACTTCAGATGACTTCAGGGAATCATCCCGAAGCCAAAGGACAAGCCGAACAGATGAATAGAGTTGTACAGCACTTGCTGAGGCATTACATCAAGGCCAGCCAAGATGATTGGGATGAGAAGTTGCCACTCATCGCCAGTCTGTACAACAATGCTGTGCACAGCAGCACCGGCGTGAGTCCTAACCAGCTACACCTGGGTGGAAGCCTAGATCCGCGTTAGACTTCCTCCTACCTGAAAACCGACCTGCTGCAACCCCAGGCACACTAGAGTATGGTGTGCAGTATGAGAAGTTGCTGCAAGAAGCTGTCGAGCACATGAAGAAAGCTCAGCAAGCAATGATTGCTTCTGAGAATCAACATCGTAGACAGTCCACATTTCAGGTAGGGGAACGTGTCTGGGTCAAGGTTAGCGAGCTAGGACAGGAATTCGGAATCTCTCGCAAACTAATGCCTCATTACTTTGGTCCCTGGGAAGTCCTAGATATAGTGGCAGATGAGATGGATGGTCCCACTTATGTCATTCGTGTCCCTGGACACCTACGCACTCACCCAGTCTTTCATGCCTCAAAGCTTGCACCTTTCGTTGAGACTGATCAATTCCCTTCCAGGAGATCGATGCTGCCCCCAACCATGGATGGACAAGTCGACATCGATGACATTGTGGATCACCGGGACATGCCCGTTGCAAAGTCGTTGGGTTGAGGAAGACCTCCTAAACCCAAGAGAGAATATCGTGTCAGATTCAGGCATCACACGGATCCCAACTAAGATCGGTGGTTTACCAGGGAGGAACTGATTGAGACAGCTCCTTAGGTGGTGGCAGAATATGAAAGGAAGATGAAAGGGAAGGCACCTGCAAAGTAAGCATCTCAGCGGACTTTCGAAGCTAAGGGGGATGGAATGTGAGGAATGAGCCCTCAAGAAGGGGCCTTGCCATGATGTACATGTTCTKGGCTAAGGCCCCAGCAAGCCTCGTGCCCGCCCTAAGTGAAGGCGGGCCAGCAAATCAACAGGAGCCCTCTGTGCCAACATTTCACGAAGTGGGGTCCATACAGTTGCAGCACGCCAGTTGGTTGGAGTGCACCGAGTCTCGGATTTCAGCAAATGCTGAAAGCCCAGGGCCTCTGAGTTAGTTAGGCCCTGGGCACTCAAMCGTGAGGCCGACAATGCATGCTGGGTATAGAGGCCSAMAATGCCAAAGGGAAATCGGCCCACTATCTGAATCTGGCCGCAGGCCTTGATGAAAGAGGCGCAACTGCATTGCCCCGGGGCCCAACTGTATCGAATTGGCTTCAGCCTCTGGGTCCCGGTCACAGGCTGAAGGGAGGCCGCCCACACGATGCACTGGCATATAGGCAAGCAGGGCGAGTGGGCAGGGATCTTGGCCATTGCGGGCAATGCTGGCACGCTGCGAAAATGCGAGCTGCTGCTGCTGCTGCTGCTGCTGCTGCGCTGCGCTAAGAAAGTTGCGAGGCAGGCCAGCGCTAGGCGGTAGGGCGCTGACTGCGCACCAGGGCACTGGCGGCCATAGCCGGGCCGCAAGAGGGTGCAGTGAGGGTGAAGGGCGAAGGTGGTCTTCGGAGGTGAAGGGCGCTGTGTGGGTAACAAGGAAGAGTGTGGGGAAGAGGACACGTACCTGGTGGAGGTGGAGGTCAGCATTGGTGTTGACATCATCACTCGCTGGTAGTCAAGTTGTCTGGTTGCTTTCATAGCTGTAGTTGTAGGCTTAGTCTGTAGAGTAGATAGGGCGCCTGGCGCCATTCATAAGAGAGAGCTACATTGGGTTATGCTGTTGGTGTTGCCCTGTTGGGCATGGACATTGACTCACGATTCTTCTGTATCATTCTCAATTGGATGGTTACTCGGTTCCATTGTACTATCTGCTTTGGCTTGGACTACTTGGACTTCAGTGTGATTTTGCATTCTGGATTTCTGTGCTTCGTCCATACTCATGTTCCTTGCAAGAGAGAGAGAGAGAGAGAGAGAGAGAGAGAGAGAGAGAGAGAGAGAGAGAGAGAGAGAGCACTGACAGTGCTGCCAGTCTGAAGACTGACATTCCGAATTGAACTGCGAAGTTCGAAGTTTTAAGTTATGTTATATGAAGTTATGAACATATATTAGATGAGTCGGTGAAACTCCGACGAAACAGTTTGTCACAGCCCCTCGTTTGTTGTCCTCTTCTCCCTCTCTGCCTACGGTTTACCGGGCAGTTCTATTTGACGATATATTACTAAATTAAAAAAAAACTTCTCTGTTTCTTTAATCGTGTGCCTGCTTTGCACTGTCTGCAACTCTGCATGTCTGCTAGTTAAATGTGCTTGTTGATTAGCTGCAAGACAGGTGCTCTGCTGCCTGAACTACAAAGTGCAAAGCAGGTAAGTGCCTGCCAACACCCCCCCCTCCCCGACCCCCCAATGTTTGGCGCGGTAATAGCATGAGGTCCATTGTGTGCAATAGAGTTCAAAGCTTGATTCAAGTAACATGAATGAAATATGATAAATTTGGATGTTATGTGTAGCATGTCAAGGGATGAATTAAGTTAATACTCGACGATGGCCATACCCTCTTTTTTCGCTTACACCTTGTTCTTCTTTTCTTGTATAAAATTTAGAATCATCTCCGGCAGGACTTGTAGTGATGACGAGCACGCTGCCATGAAGAGAAGGCAGTGGCCAGAAGATTACTATCCCACTGGGATTGGGATCTCACTCTCCCTTGTCCCTCTCACCATCTCCTTCTCCCTCACTATTCCCCCTCTGTTGCTATTCTCCCCTCCCTCAATCTCTCTCTTGCGCTACGGGGTGCCTTTTGGTCATTAACAATCGTCAAATGCCCTCCCTCAACT